GATGTGACCGATCATACAGACACATATGAAGGTTGATGTGACTGAAAAAAATTATTTTCACTGATTTTTGGCAAGTTGAATGTAAAATATTGAAAAAAAGGCATATATTTGCTGGATTTTATTTTCACTGAATCATCCCTTCAGCGAAAATTATTTCCAAGTGAAAATAAAGTACTTTACAGTATATTGGTACTGATACTTACTCTGGAGTATTGCATTCTGTCAACAACTTCATCACTTGTAAGTGGAATAAGACCTGAGATAAAACAAAGCTGTTAGATAACAAATGTACTTGCATTGCATTTTTAGTCCCTATTTCAAATGAAGTCAGAAATCAGGGACTATTATTAATTTAGGGTTTTGTCTGTCTGTCTGGAGCCATTTCAAATTTAACATAAAGATAATGTATGATTTACATATGCATGTAAATTTTTATGGCAATTTGATCAAATACGACAGACTGCTGGCCATTTTGGACCTAAATTTGCTAAATTCCAATATTTAAACATGTCCGGAAATGTTTCTTGGAGATGGACAGGTCAATTTTATTCAAACTTTGTATCATGATCATGCATATTGGGTTACAGGTGCACGTCAATTTGTTTTTGAAATTCAAACAAAAATGTTGAGGAATTAACTTACCCACTCTGTGTGATATAAACTCATCGTGTAGTACAGAGGAATTGGCTTCTATCTGAATCCAATCAATAGCAATAGTAGCTACTTCAGCAATGAACACACGTCTCAATGCATTGGCAACACTGTAAACACAAAACGATATCAGTATAGTGAACACCTCAATAACATCACATCTTTAAAGCGGAGGTGTCGTCATCTACGCATGCGTCAGGTGGCCATAGTGTGTCATTGTTTACAAACAAGCGTCTACCCATGAGACTTTGTGTTTTTAGCACGTGTTGATATCATCGCATTTTGTCAACAACCAATCACAAGACTGTTGACAAAATGCTGAACAGGCCACACCTCCAACTGTGCAGTGCGTTCGGGCAAACCGTTAATTATTCGTAAATTGAGTCAATTTGTGTAGTTTTCTTGATTTATTCTGCAGATATAGGTAAAATATAGGTAAGGCTTTGGCGAAATTTGAATGAGCAACTAATAATCTTCAACCTGGTATTTTTTATAGATTTTATTTTTCATTCTCATATGAAAATTGATTTGGATTATATCACGATCTAAATCCAACGTTAAGCCTATAAACGTTCCATTGTTTTTAGTGCCAAATCCTTTTGTTAAGTACAACAACAAATATTTCGTTGGCGTTTGTGAGCTCTTGTGTGATTGGTCAATGCATGGACAGCTCTTCCACTTCCGTGTTTCACTCCCTGTCAATTTGGGCCCTGTTTAACCATAGACAGTATAGTAGTATAGTAACACCAATGTCAAACGCCGTATGCCCAACGCAAGTTGGGCTGGAATATTATGATGAGCAAGAAAACAATGACGTCACATTTACTTCGATGCGATGTCACTACTTTTTTGAGCTACAAGTATCTTTCCCCAAACGAGTCGTTTTCTTTCCGCAATATGCATCTTCCGAACACACAATAGTTATCTTATGTTCCCGTGAACGTGGTTCACTAGTAAAAAATAAGACTTTTAATATATATGTTCCTGTTTAAAATGGAATGCATGTGTAAGTTTGTACCCCGTATTCGACAAAATACACGATATTATTGTTTTTATGATGCATGAATCTTCAAATTTTGTTATTTTCACCGACTATACTTGTTTTTTGTTCTCGCTCTCGCATTTTTTTAATAGACTTTCATTCCGTCTTCTGTTTCAACGTCTGTCGCCATCTTGACTACACGTCCAGTCTTTCAGCCCGAATGCACGTCTACCTACATTATACGCGGTCTCTATTAGTTCGCGCACCCATTTTATTTTCGAACGCTAATTTTTAAATGTATTCTTTTAATTCGCGGCGTTCAAAAACATGTTTAAAATTGTATCCTATTAATTCGCAGGCCAGAATAAAGTGGATAACTCAGAATATATTGCATGAAGACATTAAAAATATACATATAATTGTATGTTATCAGTACTTGGTGTCGCCGCAATCGCAGATGATCTCCGTCATCACAGCCTTTCAGTTAGCAAGCAGTTTAGGTTCGGTAAAGATTTGACGTGAAAAAAAATCTATCCCCCACGACACTACAGATGTTGGGCAAGAGTATTACTTAGTCGATAAATATCCATCGGTCAGCACATCGATTACAAATTTCCGTGATGGAAAGCTTAGTACAGGGCTTTTTCGTCGCTGGTCCACAAGGTTGCATCGACCATGTGCCCGCCATTATTCTATTACGTCATTTAAGTGAACCGCCCTATGGTGCGTAAATTGACATTTTTGATTGGTCGGGCGATTGACCTCGTGTCACATTTTCATTATAACGGATTCGGTAAATAACAGAGTTAAGCGGTAATGTACCTTCTATCGAAGTCCGCAGCCCAGAGTTTATTATATTATAGTAAAATTTAATTTGATGTATGGTATGTTTATGTTTGCGTAATTATCATGAATGCAACGCATTATCAAGTTGGTGGTATTGAAATATTCACAGACCCAATACCTCGGGTCAGTGCCCTAACAATAGTTAAAAAAAAAATAATTATCATGAAAGCAATACATAACGAAGTACAGAGCCGGTACAATATTGTAAATAAATTTGCGTAATTAGAAAAGCAGTGCACTAAGTAAACGACGCTCAAGTTGATATATTCAAGCCAGTACAGAGTTGCATACAAGTTGCGTAATTACAGTACCTTCGGATATAATAACAATTTTACTAGTTTGACGCGCGGGGCACGAAAGAAAAAAAGGTTGCTAAGGTAACGCGCTAGTTCAGTGCGTGACTTGGGGGTCAAACTTCGTGTCAACACACACTTGATGTCAGCATCGCCGCGCAACAAGTTTCGCAAAAAAGTACTTGAAGTTCAATTGCGTCCCAAATGTCGCTGATCACTCAGTCGTCGCAGCGTGTGTTATGTCATGTCCATGATGCACCCCGACTTTGGCTTGCTTTTCCTTCTTAGTGATGCGACCTCTCACCAATGTATTAAAACACTCTGAATTTATACTTTGCATGATTATATTTGGTCAACGCGAAACATTATTTTTTCCAAACATTTTCTGGGACCATTTTTATCAACGCAGGGTTATTTTTCCGGACAAGATGGGCTTCGTAATATCTGCCATAACATCACCCGGGCGATGCCCAGAAAAATAAAAAAGGCAGTGCAGCCAGACGGCTACTTTGTAGCCTCGTGTTCATTGTTTGTTTGTGTACAGAGTGACCTTTGCCATTTCACTGTTTCATTTCAAGTGTAACATGGTGCGTGGTCCTTGACGCAGAGCGTGTTCACTGTCCGACTATACGCCATGAATGCCGCTAGCCACAAGTCTCAGAGGCACTAAAAAAACGTCCTGTAATTGTCTTTATTGGAAAACAAAACAAATCACTAATAAATTTATGAAAATAGCTCCTTTTTGAATCGATCAAAAAGTACTTTTTAATTCGCGCACCAAAAACCAATAATTTCCGTTTTTACGCTATTAATTCGTGCACTTGAAAAAATAATTATTTTTACTACCGCGAATTAATCGAGTTTTTACGGTACCCTGTTTTTATTAATAATTTCAACAAAATAACTTGAATACTTGTGTATAAATGAGGAACGATTGTCTTTATTATTTTATTTTCACTATTTTCGGTTTGATAGCGTTTTAAAGAGTTTCTTCTACGTGACGATCAAGAAAACACAAATCTTCGCTATTTTCGATGTTGATGCCCGGGCTCTGAATCACACACACAGAGTTGTTGACATGAATTGCTGTGTCTACTGCGTTTGGATCTTCTTCACTATCATCCACCGTCATCAAAATCCGAAGAAAATAAAACATCGAGTAAATCATCTACACACGGGAACTTGTGATCAGCAACGGCCATTTAGAATACCCATGAAATACCGTAGGCAACTCTCGTCAACGAAATTACGCATTTCACGAGAGTTCACGACTCTCGCCACCTAAAACAGACAGTTTTCAAGACGGCACTTTTTTCATAGTAAACCAATTTTGACAGGAAACAGAAGCATGGTTAATTTTTTTTAAATCACTTTTGACCCAAAATACACATTTTTGTGCATATTTCAAACTACAGTGTCCATAAAAAAAAAATTTAAAATTCATACAATAAGCTTTCCAAAAATATATAGTTTTGTGGACAAGGGAGGTCATCTTGGTTGCCTAATTAACTAATTAAAATACCTGTCAGGTAAAATGCATCTCTACCTTAACGAGAAATCGAAATAAACATTTAGTTTATGGTAACGGTTAGTTTAAATCAGCTTAACTTTTTTCCAGCCTACCCTGCTACAATAGAATCGCTGGAGTTGCTTGTCCTTCCTACTATATTGTCTTGACTGGAGATCTGTGTTGAAAAATAAACCTTTGTTGTTGCGGTGTGCGCAAGAAGGTGAAGTTTTTAACATCACTTCACCTATTAACAATTCACCCCTAGACGTGATAATTTCATTTCAATAGTAATCAAA